GTGAGTTTGTTTGGGGGGGGGGGGGGGTTGTGCAGGGTATAGATAAAAGGTAAAAGCTGGTGTATGTTTTAGTGTGATGAGGGCTTTAAGGGCTGCATAGGGTATGTGTGCCTTGAAGTCCCTTGAGTTTGAAATGGTTTAAAGAAATACAGAGTAGATATAATCAATCATCCCACCCAGCTAACCATAACAGATGATTGCCCACCTTCCTGAACTGTTACAGATGATTATCCCAACTAGCTCACTCCGACAGATGATAACCCAACCTCGCCAGCTTAAACAGGTGGATCAATCACATAATTATATACAGGCCGAATATGGGCCAGTTACCCTCTCCAATTTTGGCATCATTTTCCCCTTTTTCAGCTTTCTTTTCCCCTATCTCAGTTTAAGAATTCACCCAATGGCCATTTGTAAAAATACTGCCACATGAATCTGTCTTGGTTCTATTTTTCAATCATTTCCAATACTGAGTGATTTATTTCATTTTCCCTTGTATTGATATTAATTGTTGCTACTGATATTTTTAAATCTATAATGGACAGCAAGAAACAGGTTGGGTACAACGGCGCATATGGGTAATAATCCAAAAGTTGTTTATAATAACCATATATATAGCGATTTTTAATAAAGATAGTGAAGTAAAAAAAATAGATTTTTTATATAGGATAGTGAAAGTAGATTCGAAGTGCATTCAACCATAACATACAAAGATGTTACCCAAATGCAGGATTATTACCCATATGCGCCGTTGTGCCCAACCTGAGAAACAAAGTTAAAGATGTAATCCATGCCCCCCTCTCGTACTCTTCGCCTGGCTCCGGCCTGCAACCCTTGCTGGACGGGTCATGAACCTACAGCGCATATTTTCCCCTATTTCAAAAAATGGTACTAGCTTTTTATTCATGCATTTATCCTGAATCAACAAACATGTAGCAAAAATAGAACTTTTTGTCTCAATGTAGTAATTTCAAGGTCAAGAGACGTTGTTATTCTTTAGGTTTTATTGGAAGTTTCTGCTCGAACTGGGCTTATTGAATATTGATTCAAACAATAATGAGTCTTTAATAAAAACGGGCAGTAATTAATCGGGAAACTAGCACCCGCTTGAAAAACAGCGATGACGGTTGTGACAACAGACGAAATAACCTGCGACATTACCAACTGCAAACTGTTCCAAGATTTTCGCTGTAGTTTCGTGTCTAGGTGCTGGTTGTGGTTTTTCCTGTTCGAGTACCTTGTTGACTCGACTCTCGAGATTAAATCTCCCAGCAAACCGAGTTATTCGCTTTGTGCTGTTCCCTATTACGTTCCCCATAGTCAAAGTATTATGAAATGGACCGGCGAAAACTCGTGGAACATCAAATCAAACACTTCCGGGTCAAGGTTAAGGGGAAGTAATAAGGCTGCTACCGTATATATCCAACAAGCGCGCCATCACCTATACACGTTCCAACCCATTTTCTGGTCCAAGCATCGGGATGATGATCCTGACCAGTCAAAATATTTATCAACAAATTTGAAACGGTATTTTTTCCCTTTTAAGAATTTTGATAGGTTCCGCAGTCCTAGCATTGCTAAAGCACCCAGGGCACTTACAGGACGTCGCCATTTCGGCGTTGTTATTGCAGTAAGAGACACGCAATCTGTTACACAACAATATGCACCTACAGTTTATCTTTTACCTGTTAAATTTTAGTTTAAGGGGGGGGGGGGGAATTAAGAGGCTAATCTTAAACACAATATTATGTGTGTATATTTCTGTCATTATTAACGATGTCATATCATGCGAAATAGCGCCAATATTTATCACGACGTAATTTAAGTTCTTCTTTAGGTTATCAGTAGTCCTTCAATGATCTGAAGATTATTGACTGTTTTGCGCAGCGTGGCCTATATATATATTTACAAGAATACCAAAAATTATGAAAATGAATTTGGAATGCATCAATTTTAAATTGTGATTAAAACCACGGACTTAGATAACTAATTCCGTGTTAAAACTATGAACATAGGCTTATAAAAATTAAATGAATTTGTGGAGAACAGCTGGTGTGAGCTGTTCTCTGAAAGTGTCGACTGTTGTGCATTCCATTGAGTTATGGTATAAGGAAAAAAATAAAAATGTATTTGTATTTTTTTTTATGTTGAAATGTGTCTGAAAGTGAAATTATGATTTTTTTCGGGTTCTACTGTCTGATGGTATGAGAATAGCAGATGGGATTGCTACAATTTGATGGACTATTTTGTAGACCATTATTAATCTTGTGCGTAGTCTTCTTTCTTGAAGTGTTGGCCAGTTTAATAAACTTATCATATCTGCAGGACTACTGATGTAATGTTACCTGTTACAGACATATCTGGCAGCTCTTCGTTGGACCATCTCGATTTTAGAAGTTTGTTCAACTGTGTGAGGGTCCCATACTGTACATGAATATTCCAGTTTTGGTCGAACTAGCGCCAGATATGCCTGAGTCTTGATGTTCTGACATGATGTTTTTAAATTTCTTTTTAGGAAGCCTAAAGATTTGTTGCCATTAGTTATGGTGTTGTCTGTATGTTTTGACCATTTTAAGTTTGCTTGTAGTGTAATGCCCAGATATTTAGCTGAAGAGACCAGTTCAAGCTTGTGATTGTGGAGGATATAGTCATGTTTAAACTGGGTTTTTTCTGTTGTGAGACTGTAAGAACTGTGCATTTGTCTGGATGGAAAGCCATCAACCAGTCTTGCTCCCACCTAGCAGCTGCATCTAAATCCAACTGTAGTGCATCACAGTCACTTTGGGATTTGATGGTTTTTGTAGATGATACTGTCATCGGCAAACAGTCACGAGCTTACTGGATGATAAGTATTCTGGTAGATCATTAATGTATACCAAGAATAATACCGGGCCCAGAACTGTGCCTTGATGAACACCTGAGGTGACAGGAGCCAGGTCAGATGACTCTCCATCCAGGACAACTGTTTGTGTTCTGTTACTTAGAAAGGCGAAGACCCAGTTCAGTGTTTCGTTTTGGATACCGTAATAGTTTAATTTATAGAGCAATCTTTTATGAGGAACTTTGTCAAATGCTTTGGCAAAGTCCATTATAATTAAGTCTAATTGTGTGTTGTTGTTATTATTTGCTGCGAGTTCTTGAATGAATGAAATGAGTTGCGTTTCACAGGATCTAGACTGACGGAAGCCATGCTGGAGGTCATACAGTACATTGTTCTTTTCAAGATGATTTATGATGTGTTTGGTGATGATATGTTCCATAAGTTTACAAGAAATACATGTCAATGATATTGGGCGGTAGTTTTCTGGCTTGTATTTTCCCCCTTTTTTGAATACTGGTGCTACATTTGCATGTTTCCAATCTGTTGGTGTTATGCCAGTTTTAAGTGATGTTTTAAAGACTAGTGTAAGAATCGGAGCTGTTTGATCTTTGAGTTCTTTTAATACTCTGCCACTGATGTTATCTGGCCCACTTGCCTTATGTGGGTTTATGTTATGCAGTAGTTTCTTGACACCCGGTATTGATATTTCTAGTGGTGTTATCACGGGGTGTGAGCTTGGACCTTTGTCTGTGATGCTGTTATTTGATTCAGTTGTAAACACTGATTGAACTGTCTGTTGAGAATGTCCGCCTTTTGCTTTGTGTCCCTTCTTTTTTCAGAGGTCTGTGCGCAGTGTTTTTATGAAGGAAAATGGTTTTTTAGGTTTCGACTGATTGTTGCTCTGTTGGTCAGGTTCATTAAGTTGGGTCTTTTTTGTGAAAATAAGGATTGTTTTTAATCATTTTGTAACAAAAAATGACATCATGTAACAAACAGAATATCTTGTCAAGTAATTTACAGGACAATAATAGGAGTTATTTCCCTTTGACTACTCGGTTACTTTTTTAGAATGTCATGAACGAATCTAGAAGCCCACGCGTTACCAAACCGTGCGCACGAATTGCTAACGGTTAAGTAACTCGTGCGCACGGATTGCTAACGGTTAAGTAACTCGTGCGCACGGATTGCTAACGGTTAAGTAACTCGTGCGCACGGATTAATAAATGTATTACCATGTCCCTTCGCAGACACCAGTATTCATATGAATATGAATTGTACTTCAGAACATAAAGCGTACTGGATGTACCATTCCATGTTTTAACGACGTATGTTCTCTGGGGCTATCACTCAATATGTCCGTCCTCTATGACATGGGCGGATCCGGGGCGGAGGGGTCAAGGTGGTCCAGACCCCCCTTTTTCAGCCATCGAAACTTATATATTTTTTTTAACAAACCAGAGACATGTATATACGTCTCTAAACAAACCAAGGAAAATAACCGCCCCGCTCAGATCGGCGTTGAGGACAGTACTCAAACATAACCAGGGGAGTAGCTAGGCCCATCGTAGTCCGAATTAATCTGACGTTTTATCGACTTTTTTTTATATCGGTCTGTCGTCAATTAACGACAGACCGATATATAAAAAAGGGCCGATAATTCAGACTAGACCCATCGATATGTGTAAGCCCAGACGAGGGGTCTGGGGGCCGCCTNGACTTAAAGATATATTTTAGTGTCAAATGCGCTGAAATGAAGAACATCACATAACTTATGTTCGCTATTATGTTTATGTTACACTACACGTTGCCCAGCCAACATGCAATTTACAGCTTACAGCTAGAAATGTCTAGAGATTAAAGACACTTTCCTTTTCTTTTGTGTTATGAACGTCTGTACTACGTTGTCCGTATTTATAGGAATTTCTCTGTGGACATGTAGCATTGCTAGCGAGGAAAGACGGTGTTGGGTTCTCTTGGTACTATTTAGTAAAAAAAATATAAATTGAAACCGACTTCCGCTAAACTATAGTCATATATGTAATACATTACTTTTCTAATCATGATTTTAGACATTGCTTATCAGACGCCTTTTGAATACGTTAATAAAAGCAGCTCATAAAATCAAAAAAATAAGGAGAAAAATATATAATTAAAGTTCTATAAGTTATAAGTATATAAATCCCGACTGATCTACCCTATTTTTTCAGTCATGCTACCAGAAGTTTTTTTTCTATCCAACCAGTCGAAATGCCATGACGGAAAAGGTGTGGGTCCCACTTTTTTTTTACAATAATGCTAATTCATATTTTCCCTGCGATAATGTATGAGAAGTCTTTAAATATCGTTAAACCCAAAACTGTCTTAACTACACTGAAGGAAATTCAAATGTGTCCAGGCCCTGCCACTGAGACGGTGTCCGTCAATAGATTGTGGACAACTTGTTCTGAAATGATTTCTTGCTGGGATTTAAATCCCATGTCAATGTAAAATGATCCTTGCTGGAGTGTCTTTCTTGGATTTGGAGGGTCCAAGCACGTGCTTTGCTGTGTGATGCTTGGGCATGCGGTTGGATTTATTAGATTATCAGCGATATTTGCATGTACCGGGTTTTTAGTAACCGACGTCGTGGCAGGTATTATGTCACCTTTTGCATCAGTATTACGTGATTTTGGCTTGAAGAAGGTATTCCGTCTTTTTGTATTGCAGAGATTGTTACGTCATTGGTTTGTGAGAATAACGTCATCAATTTTTGAGAAAACGACGTAATTTTCTCAAACAAACCAATGACGTAACAATCAATACCTGCCCACAAGAGAAGATAACTCTGCAATACGCAAAGACGGAATATATCTTCTTTGAAATCATTTACTTCTGTCAACATACTATAACACCGGAAATACCGGATTGGAAGTAATAGACGACCATGACATATTAGATATTCCGGAAAGTATGATGTAGTATTATAAGTATTTAGAAAATAATTAATACAAAGGTCAATTAAGATATTATCCTTATAGCATGATGTCATCTTTTGTTTTGTTTCAGTGGCTACTTTTTTGACAAATGGCACACACAGATTTTTTATGTATAACCCCGGGCTTTTTTTTTTTATCTATGGACGCTACGCCCCTAATAACACACACACACACACACAAATTTCTCCTTACTATTTAAACAGTTAGAAAAAGTTGTCTCGCTCCGCTCGGTGTTAAAAATAGAATATGACCCCCACTACCGTACGTACACGTTTTCAGAAAGTCGACAATTCATCATTATATGCTTGATTTTAGACGTGGTGTCTAAATTCAAGCATATATATATGAATTATCGATTATCTGAAAACGTATCACGAAATAAAAGATCCACAAAAAAGGACCCTAAGACACACAAAATTCAAACACAAGAGCTTTTATTTACACTTGTGCTTCTCTCTCCCCACCTCGACATACATTTTGTTTAGACTAAGTATATCGTGTAGAATGCATTATTGGGACGGGGTCCAATTTTTTTTGTTTCAAAGCCAAAAAAATCGCATTGCTACGCTGGTCGTTTTT